TTTTACTGATGTCCTTACTATGTTCCTGGGAACATTTCAGTTGCCTTGCTGTCTATGCAGGGTCAGAGAGCTGTCAGATTCCATCAAAAATATCTTAAGTTGTGTTCCGAAGATGAACGAAGGTCTTATGGTTTTGGAACGACATGAGGGTGAGTAATTACTGACAGAATTTTCATTTTGGGGTGAACTAACCCTTTAAAACCTTAAGATTGACCAACTTTTTGTTTTAAATGAGAGGACAGAGTATCATGCCATTCTAATTTTTTCTAATGAGTCAGATGAATACTGGCGAACCCTTGATTATGTTGTTATGTGATGTTGAAATGATTCACATGTTCAACAAGTAGCATTCTGAAATTTCTTGTTAATTGTTAACCGAAAATGATCATTCTGTCATCATTTACTCATTCTCATGTAGCTTATTGAGCTCTTTAAGTTACTTAGAAGTGTGGGAATAACCATTCCATGGAATCTGAAGCATTATTCAAGTGGCACTTTTCTTTTTTCCATCTTTATTCAGGAGTTTCAGACATTTGACAGACAAAAACGTGTCTGGCAGTCTGCAAGTGTAAATTGTCGTGCGAAACTACCAAAAAGTACTAAACTACTACATTTATTGTGATTTAAAAATGGCATTTACACTATTAATTTCTTAGTTTTGCCAAGTGATTGGTGGAAGCTCAAAGCTCTGACGTCTCTCTGTTGTCCTCTGTTGAGACCCTCAGGCCTGTTTTCTCTTCACATTTGCATTTACATTGCATAACATTTGCATCACAGTACTTTAGATGCAAGGGTATGCTGCATTTTCTTTTAGGATGGCATAGAGAAATCATTCTTTTATTCTTATATTATTCATATATTTTATTTTGTTGTAGTTACTGGTTACATACATCATGCAAGCCTAAATTTACAAATTCAATGTAAAGTTTACTCAAGACAGTGCTGAGAGTTTGCAAAGATTGACACAATAGAAGATTCTGTGTCAAACTGATTATATATAGATTGAATAAGCTCTACCACATTGAAAAATTCACAACTCAAAACTAATTTTCCAGTATATATAGAATGGAAAATTAGTTTTGAATTGTGAGAATGATCTTTCAGTGTGGTAGTGCCTTTTTATATATATATATATAATGGAAAGATTTACTATAGCTTAAACTAAACCTTGTTTCACAGTTGGACAGACTAGATTCATGCAAAACAGGATGTTTTGAAATGAGATACATTAGAAATAACCAACCAGGCTTGCGTTACCATTTACTTTGAATAAAACACATCCAACACCACTGAAAGTAGAAGGACACTGCACTTTGTGTTGGATTTGCATGTAAAGGAGTAAACTTTCTCTTTTTCTTTTTCCCCCATGCAAATTAATTTTGTATAATTGATTAAATCTGTAAAAAATGGGAATATTCTTAGTAGAAGGCATATCTGTTACAATGGGAGAACGTAAGGAGAAGATAATTCAGTTCACCAAAAAAATGACAATTATGTCGACATAAGGGTGAGTAAATGATGACAGAATTAACATTTTTGGGTGAATTATGCCTTTTAAGTGACTTTCCAGGTTAAATGTAAATAAAAAAATTATTCAGGCAACTGAATTTTTGATTGATCACTTGATCTCGTTATCACACTTTCTCACAACATGGTTGGTCATTCTTGTCCAGAACAAGTCCATTGAAGTTGTCCCGTATGTTTCTCTTACAGACTTGTGACCATCACACCGGAAGCACCTCATTGGTCTTTTGTCTTGGCTTCAACATCAATGCCAGCTGAGCAATCACAGTACCACACTATTTCCTTGTCTCATATTGGAACCCAGACTTGGACACGGTTTGAAGACTGCTATGACTCTTAATGAAACAGCCAGGGATCTCATGAATTGCAACTGGGAAGTTCAGAGGAGCCATGATATTTCTCAAAATGCCTAGATTAAAAAAAAAACAACTACAGCTAATAATAATATGCTTTAGTACCTTAGTGCTCATGGCGTACTGGGAAAAGATTGACAATAACATTGTAACCCATGTAATGTCTTTCTCGTACCGCTACCTTCTCAATAGCTTCACGTTCATTAACGCAAGCTTTCGAGTCAATCCCGAAGATGCTATTAAGTACAGCAATCGCAGATACCTAATAAACCACGAGAGGAAGTGTGGTAAAAAAGACGTTCTTCTCCTGCTCTTTGTGAAAAGCTCCTCTGAGAACTTTGAAAGAAGACGGGCCATTCGCTCTACTTGGGGAAACGAGGCGTACATTGAAAGGACGCTGGGTGTTACTGTAAGGGTGTTGTTTGCTCTTGGCCTCCATCCTGAACCAGAGCTAAGACGACGACTTGAGATGCAACTGTTGTTTGAGGACCAAAGGTATCATGACCTCATCCAGCAGGACTTCATAGACACCTTCCACAATCTTACTCGGAAGCTACTTTTGCAGCTTGGCTGGAAAGAAACCTACTGCCAACGTGCCCAGTTCCTCATGTCTGCAGACGATGACGTCTTTGTCCACATTCCCAACTTAATTCACTTCTTGCAAGGGATTGGCCGGAGTAACGGCAAAAACCTTTGGATAGGAAGGGTGCACCGTGGTTCACCACCCGTCCGAGACAAAGAAAGCAAGTACTACGTGTCCCATGACTTGTACCCATGGTTGTCTTACCCAGACTACACCCCTGGCTCTGGGTATGTCCTCTCCAGAGATGTGGCTACCAAAATCTATCAAGCAGCACTCACCATAAACGCTTCCTTTCACATTGATGACGTCTTCCTCGGGATCTGTGCCAAAGTGATAGATATTGCTCCCAAGGACCATGCGTTCTTTTCGGGAGAGGGAAAAGCTCCTTATCACCCTTGTATCTACAACCAGATGATGACTTCACATGGACATGTCAGCGATATCCGGGAAATGTGGAAGCGTGTAACAGAAGCTGAAGCTGATCAGATACCCTCAGGACTGATTTGGAGGCTCTACTGCACTGTCTCGAAAGTGAGGCTTCTATGTGTACCATTTCTTTCAAACACTTACCCATGTAAAGCAGCTTTCTTTTGAATACGACAGTTATTAAAATGGAAAAGAACTCATATATACACATATATATATATATATATATATATATATACATATAGAAGTCAGATTACTATTATTAACTTTGTACTGTATTGCAAAGGACCAGTACGTTAGATTGGTTCGGTAAGGTATTCAGTGGTGTGTTCCGAGAAATAAAAAAGTCATTTACTGCAGTTAACATGAAATAAACTTGAAAATTGAGACAAAACTAAATGAAAAATGTCTTCACTATGCAACATGTAAGTCATATTCAATGGAAAAAGTTTAGGTCAACTCAGTCATCGGTAGCACTACTGGATTATGAAAAATCGATAAATCTGTTATCTTGGGAAGCAAAAGATCAGCATGCACTTCGTAGGTTCCTGCATTAAGCTGATTTGCCATCAAATTAAATTGGCTTCTGTTTATATCTGGTTTTACTTGCATGTATATTGTATGTATATACTGTATTTATATTTCTCTTCCATTCTGTCTGTTTTAACAGCAGATATCAAATTTTGTCTTACAACTACCAGCTGAAAACACTCAAATTCAAAATGATTTTCTTTGTTTAGAACTGATATTTCACCTACATGTAGAGAAATTTAAAGAGTTTACAACAGGGCAGAGCTTAGATCGACAATCAAAGGTTGACTAAAAAGAGATGGCGCCCAGTTACATTAAATACATCCATTCTCTGAACCACTTGCCCTATGTAGAGTTGGCATGAATTGATGGCCAGTCCATTGCAGGTCTGATTGAAAACAGGGATGATCAGAAGAAATGGACAGGACCTGAGTTAAATATATGAGTGTCACAGCAAAGGGTCTGAATACTTAGGACCATGTGATATTTCAGTTTTTCTTTTTTAATAAATCTGCAAAAATGTCAACAATTCTGTGTTTTTCTGTCAATATGGGGTGCTGTGTGTACATTAATGAGGGAAAAAAAATTAACTTAAATGATTTTAGCAAATGGCTGCAATATAACAAAGAGTGAAAAATTTAAGGGGGTCTGAATACTTTCCGTACCCACTGTATATATATATATATATATATAATAAGTCTAGATTACACTTTTCTTTGTTTAATAGTGCTTAGAAATATTACCCCTTTACAAAGCCACATACCGTATTTGGATTGATTTTGACAAAGATCAGTAATGTCTCGTGGGCAGAGCACCGACATGTAGTGCCGTTGCTCCTCGGGCGTCCCGAGTTCGAGTCCCAGGCTCATGGACCTTTCCCGATCCCACCCCCCTCTCTCACCCACTTCGCTTCCTGTCGACTGTCCTATCTAAATAAAATGCATTAAAAAAAAGATCCTAAAACATTCTTCTGTCATGCCACATATTACTCTCTAGATCAGGGGTGGCGAACGTCGATCCTGGAGAGCCGCAGCCCTGCAGAGTTTTGCTTCAACCCTAATCAAACACACCTGAACAAGCTAATCAAGGTCTGAACAGTTACTAGAAAGCTACAGGCAGGTGAGTTTTAATTAGGGTTGGAGCTGAACTCTGCAGGGCTGCGGCTCTCCAGGCCCGGAGTTCGCCACCCTTGCTCTAGATCAACACCAGTCTCTGTTGAAGCCTATCATCCCATGCATCGTTACGCTGTTAATGATTAAACTGTTACCTGTACAAGGTGTGGTTTTGCATACTTTACCAGAGAGCGGGATATTTTTCTGCACTTTGGTCTTCAAGTGTGCTACCTTTGAAGCAGATAAAAATTTTACCTCTCCAGAATATTTTTAAAAGGCAGCTTGTATTTTTAATTAAACTTAATTTGACAATGCTCGGCCTGTTTTCTTGTATCAGAATTGTTTTTTGAATACAATAAGCACAATTAATGGTTAACAATGAAAACAGAGGTCAGGGATCGTGGCATATACAAGGAACCATATCAGTGGTATTCGATTGCAAACATGAACAATGTCTAAATCATTGAGCGACAGTTTCTATTCTTCTAGTGGACTAGTTTGGCTTTACAAGACATCTTAAGGCTTAGGACTATGCGTGATCATGTGTCTTCAATGGCCACACAGGAAAATGGGCAGATTTGCATTTCAAATTTACTCGGGAGACGTTTGAAGTTACAAATCGGAGACTTTGATGGTACAAATTACTTTCCAGAGAAAGGTCAATCTGATTGTTCAGAGTGAGCCATGCACATATACATTACCTGGCTAACAGTATGTGGATACGGCCTACTAATAAAGTGCCGCAGTGAAGATATATTTTTATAGGCCAACCTGAAAGTTAAGCACCCTGGGGGGCAACTATGGTTGCTACCAATAGGAGTTCAAAGGAGCTTGCAACCATAGCTAGCTAACAATGCTTTTGGGAAATGCACCCCTGGTTCCCTCAACAAACCCAATAGGGATTTTCCATTGGTGTTTGGCTTATTGCAGAAAACAAGTTATGACTGACAAAAGCTTATGATTATTAGTTTTCCTTTTCAGTGTTGTTTAATGTCACGAAATGGGGTTCTCCTATTCAGTTTTTTTTTTTTTTTTTTGAAAATCATGGAAAATAAACTGCAGTAATTGCAAGTCAGTGTCGGATAAACAAATTCAAAAGACACCGGACAACAATTAATGGACAGAATAATTATCCTCTTTATTGCCAAGTGGGCCAAACACTACATGGAACATTGAGCTAAGGTGTTAAGACCCACCTTTGAAGAAGACTTCACAAAAAGTACTTCATAAAACAATATACATTTAAAGTAATACATTCCACAAAACGTAAAAAGTGCCTTTATAGTACTAAATAGGTGAAATGACCCAAGTTAAACAGCACACATATGTTAGCATAACATAATTGGCAGACTTAATGCAGCACTTGTATCTTTTAGTCCACAAGTAAACTACTAAACGATAAAGAACATCCAACACGTACATTTTGAACATACCAGGGAAAAAATACCTGAAAAAGAATACATGTAAAGAACCCATGTTTTGTAAACGCCACCACCAGTAAATACTGATATGGTTAGAGTCTACAACCGTCCACACAGAGAGTCAACGTCACGTATCGAATTCCTAAGTCAGATCCGCAGCCAGCATTCAGGAGTAGTTTTTTTTTTCTTCCAATAAAATAAGCGCAAATGGAAGTGATCATTCGACAGCTATCCCGGCATTAAAATCTCCAAAGTTTAAATCAGGTCAGCAACATTCATGGGCATCTCCTCAACAGTTGTATTGTAGAACGTCTCAATGTCTCGTAGAATCCTTTTGTCTTCTTCAGTAACAAAGTTGATGGCTACACCTTTTCTGCCAAACCGACCTCCACGGCCAATCCTGTGAAATGATAAGTATAGCGAAAACATCAACATCAAATGAATCATTTAATGCAGCCAGTGAGAAACATGTTGGCATCTTGACGTTTTACTCGCCTATGGATATAGTTCTCTCGATTTGTTGGCAAGTCATAGTTGATGACAAGTGAAACTTGTTGCACATCAATTCCACGAGCCTGAGGAACAGGGATTTCAGGGTCAGTCATGCTAAAAATGACCAGTTTTTTTTGTGTAGTCATTTTGTTAATGCCATGCCAGATTCTACACCTATTCTCATGATAAAATCCAAGTTAAAAAAAAAAAACAAAACAAAAAAACCTACACAAGTTTGAAAGCCATTTTTAAATAAAGAAATATTCTGGACTGACTGATAACCTTCACAAAGTACAGGAAATAATTTAAGTCTGCCTCATTCAACGTCTGTCAATTTACCATAAAATTTGTGATTTCGTTTCTTCACAATTCATGAATGTTTTCATAGTGCTGAATCTTCTTACAACAAATCACCGTTTAGTTAATGATCATTTGTCCCAACGCTTGTAACTTCGTTCCTAATTTTATAACCATTTACTTGTCTTGGAAAAATTGCTTAAACTTGACAAATGTAGCTTTATACAGATAATAAAAATCTTGGTAGTATTGACCAAAAAGGGTTGTTCATAAAGTTGTCTTAAAAGGCAGAGCAAGTCAAACAAATAAATACATATAATTACCATATAATAATTTTTTTAAATGTAATTTCTTTTAAAGGGGTCATATGATGCGATTTTTCCTTTCTCTTCGGAGTGTTATAAGCTCTTGGTGCATGAAGATCTGTAAAGTTGCAAAGACTAAAGTAGGGCTGAAACGATTCCTCGAATACAAGAAAATAGAGGCAGAAGGTTTGTTTAGTCCATTTACAGTAATGACACACGGAACACCGTTTCCCCACGGACCATTATTACTGACGCACAACCCGATAAACGGCTGGACCAGACCATGGACTGTATAAAAACAGGGACCAGACTCCTGAGAACCAGAAAAAAAAGCTTTGTGAATTTAGTATTTTTTCATGTCATTACATTGTTTAGAGCATAAGAAAAAAAATTGTAAAATAACATTTTTGAAAAATTATATTTTATTCATAAGTTATGCTATGTCCTCTGTAGAGGACACCAGGACTCAGTTTTTCTAAAAATAAAATGACAAGAATAGACATGAAAAGACAAAAACAATGGGATTTTTTTTTTAGGTTTCAGGATTTTTTTTTATAACTAATTTAAGGATGGTTCTCAACTATGTTATAAAATATATAACAAAATGATTTGATACTTTTAGTCCTGGTGTCCTCTACAGTGGACATGTATATAATGATGTCCCGTTTCATAACAGGAAGTCATATTTTGATTTGAAACCCCATAACATTTTCCTGAGATGTTGATTTATGACAAACAATTTGAAAATTAATCCGATTTAAATTATAATTACAAAATATGATCATATTTCCATAAGGATGTACAATTTTATCACTAAATTAATGTCAGCCATTTTAAAAACCAAAGAGAGGGAGTGGCCACGGTGAAACATCCAATCATTTGGTATCTCTGGAAAGCCCTGAATGTGCTCTGTACAGGCCATCCAGACTTACAACTGTGACATGTGAGGTCTCAGAGAAATTCACTCAAATATAATGTCCACTACAGAGGCAAAAACTCCATAACTGGGTCTCAGGAGGACATTATATAAAAAAATAAATATGTCCAGCACTTTTTTTTTTTAAGACCGTAAATCAATATGGTGGCTAGTTATAATGTCCCTACGTTAGCTATGTTTTGTGAAATACTAAATGCCATTGTGCATAAAAATAAGAACTTTCACAGAAAGAAAGTTAGTCAATCTCACACGAAGAGTGCCAGTTTTCACCTCTAAAATCAGCATGACTACAAATGTGATTTTATTCAACCGTTCAATGAACGAGAAGGTAATATTATGAGACTTACGTTATAGACACTATATTGCTTTATTTTTCCAACAAAAAAAATTTCCAAACACAGCCACAGCGCGTCTGTGCAACATGGCCGTTCGTTCGTTCCTGAATGAATCAACCGTTTAAATGATTCGGTTCAATCGTAATTACTCACTTCTTAACAGTGACTTGCTGCCACCTACTGGTGGTTTTAATTTCACATTTAAAGTATCTTTTCGTTTTTAAAATAATTTTAAATATCAGTATTCAATGTTTTGTTTAAAATAAAATATTATTTATGCATTTGTAACTGCAGGTTAAATGCATTCATGTCCCTCTGTGTGGGAAATTCATCCCATGCAGCTTCTGTGTTTCCTCTGCATTGCAAAGATGAATTTTGATACCGATATCCTTTGTTTGGTAACAGCCCAAACGTCTTTTATTCTAATTGACTGATTAAATGTAAGAATTTGACTCAAAAGATGCACACCTTTACAAAAAAAAATGCCCATAAAATGTAAAAATGAAATTTAAACTTATTGGAACAGATTAATTCCTATCACTGCTGTGAACTGACCCGGCACACAGAATATGAAGGATATCAAAAACAAGTTTCAAACACACACACACGTACGTATAAGGACATTTAAGAGTGTTTATTCTCCAAATAACTCTAATTTCATGTTGCAGAAAAAAAAAGTGTTTAAAAATTGTGTATGGTCTCTTGTTCCAAGTTACCTTCCTGTCCACTGATTTTTGCCTCACAAAAGCCACAAAGCCTTCCTTTGGTTTAGGTAATGCTTAGGTATTATTATCATCATTTAGATTTATGCCTTTGTTTTAGTTTGTACCGTTTACCTTTTTTAAAGTAATGTGACATTGATTTTTGTATTTTTATATTGATATATTTGTATTTTGAATGTAATTTGGCAATTAAACATGAAATGGGTTTAGTTTTCACGGTTATTAACGTATGCAATTTCAGCAATAATTTTTTTCTAAAAAGAAAACAAATTAGTTTATTTTAAGAGATCTACCTTATTATCTCTTGTATATTTAGTATTGCTCTTTAATAAAGAAATGACTTCTAATCCGATTAATCGATGGAATAATCCGTTGAACACTCGATTACTAAAATAATTGATAGCTCCAGCCCTAGACCCACATGTCTACGTCACTATGTGGGAAGATTTGCATAACGCCGCCCAAATGTTCACGCAAAGGCGGACGTAACTTTTATTCTAGCTGTAGTAACTTTTATTCTCACTGTAGTATGGTTGTTGCCGCCGCCGCCATGTCGTGAAGATGCTGTGTAAGCGAAACTACTTTGTTTGGTCTTCCAAAAGAGGACGATATCCGCTTCGTCATGCCTGGAGCTGATCCGTGCTGGTCGTTGAGGAAATACATCAACTTCGCGCTGTGGATCGCCGGATCGGCTTTCACCGTGGACGAAGCGGAGTCCAGCCTGGGTCGTCACATGTGGCTGCCGCAAGCCCGCCGGCCGTGCCGTTCTCAAGTCCGCCGTTTGTGATGCTGTGTTTCGTTGTAAAAGCTAAACTACTTTGTTTGGTCTTCCAAAAGAGGACGATATCCGCTTCGTCATGCCTGGAGCTGATCCGTGCTGGTCGTTGAGGAAATACATCAACTTCGCGCTGTGGATCGCCGGATCGGCTTTCACCGTGGACGAAGCGGAGTCCAGCCTGGGTCGTCACATGTGGCTGCCGCAAGCCCGCCGGCCGTGCCGTTCTTAAGTCCGCCGTTTGTGATGCTGTGTTTCGTTGTAAAAGCTAAACTACTTTGTTTGGTCTTCCAAAAGAGGACAACTAGAAATCAGTGGTTAAGTTGTTTTTACAACACTGTTCCAGAACAGTTCAACCCAAATATTCAGATGTGTGCAGCGCATTTTGCGGAGAATGAGGACTGCTTCCTGTGAGAGTAGCCTACAACGCCGGTGTCTGTTTCTATAAAGTGGGGCAGTTCCAACTTTGCAAGGACAGTCTGGCGCTTCTGACTCACAGCCTGTAAGTACGTTTTTTATATTTAAAGAATTTGCCACTGACGATTCAAACGTGAGTTGAGCAGTGTAGAGTATCGCTTGTTGTATGTCGTTTCTCCAGACATGGTTTTAGGTTTACACAGCACGATACGCAACGCGTAAAAAGACAGTACAAGTCATTATAATCAGTAATTATGTCCCCACTGGATGCAACAAATGCCTCATTTGTAATTGGTTTTATTGTTTTAGTCTTGTCACGCCATGACACAGAGCATCACAGTATGGTAAGGGGCATCACATGCTTGAGGTATTCGGCCAATCACAACACACTGGATAGCTGGCCAATCAGAGCACACCTCGCTTTTCAGAACGATGAGCTTTGTAAAAATCGACGCGTGTCAGAATGGCGGGGCATAGAGCAACAATAATGTGGAATTCGGAATGTAAGGTGGAAAATAATGCGTTTTTTGAACCTTAAACCGCATAAACATTGAATTACACCAAATACACAATGTTCTTTTTAGCAACGTCATATGACCCCTTTAATTTACAAATTGATTGTTAAAAAAAAAGAAGCACCCTTTCAGAAATTCTGAAAATAACAGCCCTACTCACCAGCAAATCTGTGGTTATGAGCACTCTGCTAGAGCCAGACCTGAACTCTCTCATGATTACGTCTCGCTCCTTCTGATCCATATCTCCATGCTGAAAAACAGAGAGACTGCTTTAACCTACGCAAGACATCACAAACGTCATGCTGGCTTAGAAACTCTGGACAAGTATGATCAGTTATGTTTAGAAACAAATCTCTCCATGAGAAGTCAGTCCCGAAAGATGGTAGACCATCATTTCATACTTTATCCAGCATTAAAAACCATAATGTGCAATATGTCTCCTAGATCAATCCCTGGCCTACCATTAACTATAGTAACCTGTTAATTTTTAGCACATATGTACATCAGCTTACCAGAGCAGACACAGTGAAATCTCTGGCATGCATCTTCTCGGTCAGCCAGTCAACCTTTCTTCTCGTGTTCAAGAAGATAACAGCCTGGGTGATTGTAAGGGTCTCGTAGAGGTCACACAGCGTGTCCAACTTCCACTCCTACAGATAAGTGAATTAGCATTAGCGAAGTCATACTGCATCAATGTCCTGAGTTCATTAAATCTAATGGCACAAAAATCTCGAGATCTTGGACACCGGACATTAAGAAAGAGGTCCGCCCTAGACTCATTTCCGACCGTGTGCTTCTGCTCTTCCTTAATTAAGATTAACCAGTACTAGCATAAACACCAGAGCAAGGCCCGAAGGCCTTGAGCTGGTGATTTTAGCACGGTGCTTTTAAAAGAAGGGACATGAGACATTAAAAAGAGACAACCAGTGTCTCACCTCTCGTTCTACATTGATGTAAAACTGCTTAATACCCTCCAGAGTCAGCTCCTCCTTTTTCACCAGGATGCGAATAGGTTCACGCATGAACTTGGTGGTCACCTCCAGTACATCAGCGGGCATGGTGGCCGAAAGCAGCACAACCTGGTAACATGACACTGTTAGAGCATCGACAAAAACAAACAGAGATGTGTCAATTCTGAAAATGCTAGTGAAGGATTTTGCATTAAATATAACTGGTAATGGGGAAATTTTGTCAGCATAACTGTGAGGAAAACAAACTGAAGTACTTGATTTGCACCCTTTTGCTTTAAGGACAGCAGCACCTGAGCTGCATGAACTCAAAGTTTGGGTAACATTTGATGCTTGGGTTCTTCAGCAAGATTTGAAAATGTAATGAGAACCTTGTGCAATGGATGCAAGTACGTTTGACATATATATATATATACACAAGATTCTGACGAGTTACCTGAAAATAGCACAGAACGTCTCCAGTTTGACAAGACATGATTTTAAATGTTTTCGAACGTTTAAGTTACAGATTTTCAATATGGTAACAAAGATTTCTTCCAGTTGAAAACTGATGTATTGTTACTCTGGACCTTGAAACATAAGCCACTGGACATTAAGAAAGAGGTCCGACTCGGTTTCATTTCCGGTGCAGGGCTACTCCTCTTCTTCCACATGATACTCTGCTAGCATAATTGCATAAACCAGGAGAACCTGGAATCCGCAATTTTAGCACAGTTCTTTTGAGTGGAAGACACCTCCATTTAGAGTCAGAGATCAAGACATTGACTTACTTGGATGTTTGTGCTTAATTTCTGGAAAATCTCATAGATTTGATCCTTGAACCCACGGCTCAGCATTTCATCGGCCTCATCAAGGACAAACATCTTGATCCATTTGGGAGCTGTTTAAAAAAATAAAATAATAATTACTGTAATTCAAATCCTTACTAAACTGTTAAAACATGACGGTCAAATGTATGATCAGTTAAGTTGTAAATATCTTCATAATAGATCAGTCCCGAAAGATGATACCATCACGTCATACTTCATCCCAGCTGGGCCTGCATGTTTTAGCCTAATTTATTTGCATTCACTACTTACACAGGTATCTCCTGTTCAGCATGTCAAACACACGGCCTGGCGTGCCAACGACGATGTGTGGAGCCTCTGCCTGGAGTTTTTGCATTTCGTTCCGCACGTTGGTGCCTCCAATGCAAGCATGGCAAGAAGCGCCCATGTAGTCACCCAAAGCCAGGATAACCTTCTGAATCTAGAAAACAGAGAAAAACAGATGGGGCTTATAATAAAAGGAATGCTTCATATCCTCAAATACTGAAGTTTGATCGTCACAGTGCACTTATCAAGCCAAACATACAAGTATGATCAGTTGAAAAGGTCATCTCAAGTCAGTCCCAAAAGACAGTATACCATCTCACTTTTGTCCACAGCTTCTTTTTGCTACAATCATCCCATGGAACCTACCTGGCAGTCCAACAACCAAACCATTAACTAAAATCTAATTTCCAACCACTTACAGTAAATACTCCAGAAAATTTTTCTGGCTGAAGCACTACCTAATTATTTCCTGCCGACTAGCTCATAAAATTACACAAATTAAAAAAACATCTACATTTAATGACTGATGGAGCAGGAAGAACAGCGAAAGAGTACCTTGAATCGGGCTACTGCCAGAATATGCCGCCTTGGTCTGAGACACTAAGTTTATGGTGACCTCAGGTACAGCATACCTGCTGAGCGAGCTCTCGGGTTGGTGCCAGGACCAGAGCCTGAGTCTCTTTCTGCTCGATCTCCAACTGCTGCAGGATGGAAATGGCAAACGTGGCCGTTTTACCAGTGCCTGACTGGGCCTGAGCGATAACGTCATATCCTATGGAGCAGTAAAGGATCAATTCACACTAATGCGTAGCACATACTCCGGTTTAAAATAAGCAGACTCGCACTTGAATTTAACTAGACTACAAACTAATATACAGAAAGCAAATTGTGTACAGTAGTGATGTCACGGTACTAAAACTTCAGTATTCGGTACTAATACCAGTGACAATCCACAGTTCTCCGTACCAATTTCCGTACCAAAGCAAAACACAAAAACATGCCAATTAAAAATCTGACTACTTTTATTTATTCCAAACTGTGTACATTTAATTTTAAAGGGCTTTTAAAACCTTCTAGAGTAAATCAGCCAAGAACAACTACTAAGTTAGCTTAAAAAAAAAAAAAAAACCCAGAACTGTTTTTCTGACGGACTGATTTGACACAATGTTAACCATTTGTACATTTTCTAACACGCATATTTTAGATTCGCAATTCACTTAAAAGCCTCTGGTGTGTAAAAATAGTAAATATAATCATGTCCTCCTGATTTTTTTTACCCTAATAAAAGTTATAGGAGCATTAAATAGTTAAAGAAACTTAATTCTAATGCTCATTATATTAGTGCTAGCCGCGCTTATGCTAACGATTAACTACTCTAATAACAGCAATGTTCATTTCAATCAGACATTCAAATTAAAATATTGAATAATATTCATAACGGAAGCGGTGTTTCCCACAGACTTGGGCACTATTTGTGGCGGCATATATATGCAAATTCATTCTCTGCCAGCAGGAGGCGCTTGTAGAGCAGGAGAGATAGAGGTTTCCCCGGTAACGGCTGGAATCAGATAAGCCTGTGCTCACAAACGCTGCTTTATCAGGCATTACAGGCAAGATGGAACGAAAATGACATCCATAATTTTCAGAAGACAGTCGATTTCCTTCAGAAATACAGTGTTCTAAAAACACCCACGCCGGGTTTCGACTTTGACACGTGCAGTGCTCATGTTTATTCAATTAAAGCCTTTTGGAAAATCTATTTGTGGTGGTTAGTTTTGATATTGTGGCGGCTGTATGGGAAATACCGAGAAGTGTTTTTTTATCCAAATAGAAAAAATTAAAATGAAACTTACCTGCTTGAACTCTTTGATGCGTTTCCTCATTTTGAGGTCAACATGTCTCTTTGCTTTTATGAAGAGAGCGCATCTGCGCACATTTCGAATAGCGCATTAAGAACCGGGTTGAACGTTAAGTACCACCGGTACTTAAAAAAAACCTGGTACCGTAACGTTTTACTTTTTTTTTTAGTACAGACTTGGAACCGAAGTACCGGGTCTTTTGACAACACTAGAGTACATGTAATCTTGTTTATTAAAAAAAAAGCATGTCAAGCATATGCTGAACGTAACTTGTTTGTACCTTTTATGCAAGGAATTATAGCTCTCTGCTGGATTGCTGAGGGTTTCTCAAAACCATAGGCATAAATTCCACGAAGGAGAGTTTCCTTCAGGTTCATGTCATCAAAATTGTCCGTAATCTCGTTCCAGTTGCTCTGTAAAAGGAGTATGAGGGATTTCATTTAATACACTCAACTCACCAAGTACAGACAATATCCTTACTGTAAGCTGATGGGAAGGGGTAACATGCAGCCTTTAAAATCACATCAGACAATGAGCACACATGAAAAGCACTGCAATATTGAAATTACAATTGAGGATTTTCAAGAAAGCCCCTTCTTTCTGTAATGGGGCATGTCAATTAAAGAATTGGTCACAAGTTTTAAATGGGAACAAACAGGGCTTTTGCTGCCTTCACATGCTATCAGAAATTTCCTACTTACCAATTCTGAAGTCAAAATTAGGAGTACGTTACATTCAAGTGTTTGTAGTTGGAAATAATAGGAAACATTGGACACCAGTGTGGCCATTGCATAAAATGCTTAAACTAGATTTAATAGTTAGTAATTTAACTTTTTTTTTCTTTAAGACTGGTCAATTTCAAGCCAGTTACATCATGTAAATTGGTCTAATTAGAATCTGAAAAGAAAGCCTCATTCCCCCTTGGCTAACAGCTAGTGGGTCAGACTTGTTCTTAAGACACAGTCCTAACAAAGGCTGAGTTTTATGCAACTGCCTGGATAATTTTCACCCATTTCCTGGGGAAAATCTTAAAGCTAAAATTCTTTAGATATCAAATCAATACCAAATCAATTCTGAAAATGAATAAACATCTTCATTGACAACCATATTATCATTACCAGTTCTGTTGTATTCATTCAACGTTATCTGAATACTTTGCGGACATAACTGAAACTTCAGTAAAATAATTGCCAACCCTCTACACACACCTTGGCAATATAAATCGCCATTGGCTAGTAAAATGTTTTTGTTTACTCGCCAGACTGATATACCATTTTACACACACACACGTTTATTTAGCTATCTAAATGGGGACATTACATAGATTTCTATTGTTTTATACAGATAGTTATAGACTTTTTAACCTAAACACACCCCTCACAGAAAACTTTCTGCATTAAAAAAAAAAAAAAAAGTTCACTTTATTTTAATAACAGTTTTACAAATGAGGACATCCACAAATTGAGTTTTTTGCCAATACACACACCTTATCTTTGTAAAATGGAACAGCTTCTTAAATAACTGAATCTGCACTCTTAACTTTCTGCAAAAAAAAAAAAAAAAAAAAAATTCACTATTTTAATAACAGTTTTACAAATGAGGACATCCACAAATTGAGTTTTTTGCCAATACACACCTTATCTTTGTAAAATGGAACAGCTTCTTAAATAACTGAATCTGCACTCTTAACGTCAGCCAATCAAGCATTATTTTATGATAATTAAGCACTATTTAATGATAGAACTAGTGATTAGAACTAAAACTTGGTAACCATGAATGCATATGTCATTTTAACTAAACTTAGGACTAGTGGTGGTGTTTAAGATATTGGTGCTCATAGGTAGTAGTAATTATTATTAAAAGATACTACTACTACTACTATTATTATTATCTGCTGGGTTCATGAATATTAATCACGTTGTCAGCATTCGCTCGAACTGATTTGCTGAAATCAAAAGAGGGACGGTAATAGATGAGCGCCAACCAACGAGAGCTGTTCGCGCATTAGCTCCGGCATATCTTCTGCTTGTTCTTAAAAGCTGAATAACTCTAAATGAACGCTGTTATTTTGACAGGAAAATACAACAAAGAATATGGTTTACATGTTGTGTGTCGATTCAGCGTGGTATGCAAGACTCTCGCTCTCTCTCTTTGCATGCGTGAGAGAAACAGCGCTATCAGTAAAGCGACGGCGAGTCGTGTGCCATCACACTAGTTTACGGTACATCAAATACAGATGCGCTGCGTGCTACATACTGCGCATCCATTGAGTACATGACATGATCCATTGAGCGCATCCAAATAGTACAGATCGCTTGACGGAGAGCGAAACTCTCAAGCGCTCAGTCAGCGTGTTTATCGAGTGAAAAATCTGTGTTGAACGCCTCTCACACACATACTGGCGTGTAAAATCTAAGAATTTATTAGCCAATGGTTAATGTTAGACATTATTTAGTCGCCCAGAATAAGATTTAGTCACATATGCGAGTGATTTACTCGCAATGTAGAGGGCTGATTGCGCTATTTTCGCTGTGTAATATTCATAATACATGCATCCAAAACTTATTTATACATTTATAAATGACCATGAAGGAGAGAGAGCTGCATCATTTATCGAAATTAAATTGCAACGGTGATAAATCGCGATTAGGTTGAAGCTGCGATTGTCATGCGTAACTTTCAGTGAAGCACGGTTCTGTGATCAGCAGTAAATCTACATCCAAAGGCCAGAGGGCGCTCTCGCGCTGAAACTAATAATAGGCCTCACAGAAGTAACCCAGGAAATCCCTATAGCAGTTGCTGAATAAACAGAAGATTTAACTGCTTTCATCGATTCAACGTGACTAATAAACATGTCTACGACAATATATGGTTCATCTGAGTTGGTCTTATTTTTATTATAATAAAGTGCATAATAATGCACCGCTAATTGACATTAGCCTTTATCACTGCTTAGAATACTACGAAATGTTGCATGCCTTATTCTGTGCAAGACACCACATCATCTCACAGAATTTCACACACTCATCTAACATTATGAAGTGAGTTTGGAGTAAAAACATGTTATTAAAACGTCGTATTTTCACGTGCTTTCAGATGGAACAGCATTTACTACACAGACAAGCTACGCAAACAGCTTTTATAAAATCGCAGAATGATTTCTTCAAATTTCATAATCGCGCGATTAAATCATCTGCGATTATGCGTAGCTTGTCGGTGAACTATGGCTCTTCATAGTAAATACAGCTCAATGCTTTACTGACAAGACGCACATGACAATTGCATTCGATTAACCGTGCAGCCCTAGAGAGAGCTCAATGTAGATGTGGTGGGAAAAACTAATAAAACTAATGTCACCGTAGCAATAGTTTTCTCCTCCGCCATATTTTAGGTTAATAATGGCCCACCCAACTCCGTTATCAAAATTATCCAAGTTCCCCAGTCATAAATATGACTGCAGACCATTCATGTCCATTTTCCAACAAGGTAACTACTATAATTCAGAGGGAAGCATTTCAATCTGCTGCTCCTCAACTTAACGCTGCTCCTCAAAATCTTGCCGGTTTTAGGATCACACAGATTTTGCTCGTGTTAAAACTGGTTTGCGTTGTTCACCGACAGAAAGGTGCTTGGTTTAAAAGTGACGTCTGTGTTAGGGTGACCAGACGTGCCATTTTCCCAGGACGCGTCCTTGCCAAGATTTGTTTTGGCTTTGTTTTTTCCTGTTTTCATGCTTGCGGAAGGTAATGATCGAAAAGTAGTTTGACCAATAACATGCAAGCATTGTACATAATGGACCCATCATGGTGTGTGAGAGAAGGTGGCATCTACGGTCAAAGCGATTCAATTACGCGTACATAGGATGTGTGTTCGACTTAAAAGCAGCGCGGCTCAGATCGATCAGTGTTTATCAAAGTACCTCGAGAGCATTTTGAAAGCATAAGGAACCGTCTGTATGGTATTTAGATGTCATACACCGATCGGTCTGCACACGCAAACAAAGCCAAAACCTAGATATTTTAGGCAATATAGAAATCCTGGCCAGGACGCGTCCTGGGAAAATGGCACCCCTAGTCCAGGGATCCTCAAATCTGGCCCACGCGATCCACTTTCCTGCAGAGTTTAGCTCTAACCCCAATTAAACACACCTGAGCATGCTAATCAATGTCTTCAGGATCATTAGAAATTCAAAGGTAGCGGAGTTTGATCAGGGTTGGCGCTAAACTCTGCAGCGCATTGGACCTCCAGGGCAAGATTTGAGGAACCCTGCCCTAGTCTGTGTGAGCTGCACTTCATATATTTTTACACCACTGACGATTAAACTTTTTGCCCATGATGTGTGACCACACTTTCAGGGCAGTTCATGGATTGACCTAAAAATCTTCACCAGTCCAGATGTTTATTAGAAGCACTAAACCACCCAGCCAGGACTTCACTACCATACACACCTCGATGACACCATCAGGCTCCATTCCTTCAGGCCCCCCATGGTCTCGATCTCGTGAGCTAAAAGAAAATACAGCATAAGTACATGAAGTTCAAATAATGCCACGTGGACGACCGTTAACAATCAAAGCGGTAAATAAACACTTTAGTCAATAATGGCTCGTATTCAGTGTAAATGACTCAGTCATGGGCTCCCTTAGAGCCTACGACCAAATTTAGTCCAACTTATTTACAGTAGAAACACCTTGTCGTCTTTAATGTGTGAAAAGCAGTTTCTACTACCCGTAATTGTTGTATATTACCAAATATTTATCTCCCGATAATAAAAAAAAAACACACAACCTACAACTTGACAAAATAGAAGAACAAGATTTTAAGGTAGTGAAGGCGACGTGAATGCAAGGCCTCAAGCATGGAGAACACGCGTTAGATTTCAGGGTGGGCGTGAAGACTAGTTAACGTTCATCCTTAACAACGCTACTTATTTGAAGAAGAAAAAAAGTATAAAAATAACCAATTTAGTCATAGAGTGAGCGAGAAATACGTGAGAGTACACACACGCAGCTAACAGGCGGCCTATCACACGCGCCATGTCAAAATCCACAACACCGGTGATATAATTAGCCCGACGCCTTTCTAATTCAACAAGATACACATTTACGGAAAGCATCTAACATAAAATGAATGCGAGTTACGTGTCATAAAGATTTTACCTGTTGTAATCAGCAGAACCGCTAGACATGGTCCGTTCGCGACTGCGGCGTTCATTCGGAAAGGAAGAACATGTGAATCTCTGGCGTTTTTATCTAACCGGAACTTCTTTTTGTACATGTAGAGTAAAACTGTATAAACACTTAAGACAGCTACATGCGATTGACGTTTTATCGAACCGCGACTAGAGGTGTAATGCGAGTTAAATACATGTTAATTTTATGAGTGTTTATCTTTGTTATGTCGAAGTTTATATGGGACTATATTGAGAAGCGCAAGGATATTGCACCACTGATAGGGAGTAGTGGAGTCGCTACGGGGTCTCCACCAGTGATCTATATATATATATGACTTGATCACTGGTCTCCACACTTCTGGCCTTAAAGGGATAGTTCACCCAAAAATGAAAAATTCTGTCATTAATTACTCACCCTCATGTCGTTCCAAACCCGTAAGACCTCCGTTCATCTTCGGAACACAAATTAAGATATTTTTGATGCATTCGGACAGCTCTCTGACCCTGCATAGACAGCAAGGGTACTACCAAAATCAACGTCCAGAAACGTAGCAAGGAGATCGGTAAAATAATCCATGTGACATCAGCTGTTCAACCGTAATATTACGAAGCTACGAGAATACTTTTTGTGTGCAAAGGAAAAAAAATAACGACTTTAATCAACAATTCGTCTCCTCCGCGTCACCCTAGTGCAGTGGCGGCGAGGCAGGGGTGGCACAGCTTCCCCATACTTTTCAGGTGAAAATGGAAGGAGGACGATTTAATGTTAATAAAATTCACAATTCATTTCAGTTCATGTCTCAGAATGTGTACTGATACTGATTCTTAAAGGGGTCATATGATGCGATTAAAATTTTTCCTTTCTCTTTGGAGTGTTACAAGCTCTTGGTGCATACAGAAGACCTGTAAAGTTGCAAAGACTAAAGTCTCAAATCCAAAGCGATATTCTTTATAAAAGTTAAGAGTCAACCACGCCTACCTAAAACGGCTCGTTCTAACACGCCCCCACATGTCTACATCACTAAGTGGGAAGATTTGCATAACGCCGCCTAAATGTTCACGCAAAGAAAGAAGGCGTAACTTTTATTCTCGCTGTATTATTGTTGCTGCCGCCGTGTCGTGAAGACGTTGTGTTTCATTGTGAAAGCGAAACTACTTTGTTTGGCCTTCCAAAAGAGGACGATATCCGCTTCGTCATGCCTAGAGCTGGTCCGTGCTGGTCGCTGAGGAAATACAACAACTTTGCACGTGGACGAAGCGGAGTCCAGGCCAGGGTCGTCACATGTGGTTGCCGCAAGCCTGCCGGCCGCTCCACCCTCATGTCGTTCCAAACCCGTAAGACCTCCGTTCATCTTCGGAACACAAATTAAGATATTTGTGATGCATTCGGACAGCTCTCTGACCCTCCCATAGACAGCAAGGGTACTACCACGATCAACGTCCAGAAACGTAGCAAGGAGATCGGTAAAATAATCCATGTGACATCAGGGGTTCAACCGGAATATTACGAAGCTACGAGAATACTTTTTGTGTGCAAAAGAAAAAAAATAACGACTTTATTCAACAATTCGTCTCCTCCGCGTCACCCTAGCGCAGTGGCGGCTCGTCGGGGGAGGCAGGGGTGGCACAGCTTCCCCATAATTTTAAGGTGAAAATGGAAGGAGGACGATTTAATGTTAATAAAATTCACAATTCATTTCAGTTCATGTCTCAGAATGTGTATTTTTTTGTTTGTAATTTCACAGTTGTAATACCATAACGTGAAAGCGCCGCTTTTCTATCGCGAATGTGCCGAATCTGCTGATGTAATTACAACCGCTAGGTGATAGAGAAGGGGAGGGGGAGGCCGGGGGAGAGATGAGCTCTTGTGCCTCTGTTGGTAAAAAAAATTAGCCAATCAGCATCGAGTGTTCACTTTCAGCGCTGAGGGGTGTTGCGAAAAGAAACCTCGTATGGGAGGCTAGCCTCCTTCTGATATCAACCAATCATCACAGAGACGTAAATTACGTGACATTAGTTTGAACGTCTGCCGCTGCGCTGATACTCCCAACACTACCGTTCAAAAGTTTTTATTTTCCTTTGCTTTTGACAGAAGTATTTTATTCTCACCATTGCTCTGTTTATTTGATAAAAAATACAGTAAAAACAGTAATACAATATTTTACAATGTTTACAATTTAATATAACGGTTTTCTATTTTAATATATTTTTAAAATGCAGTTTATTCCTGTGATTGCAAAGCAGCCATTACTCCAGTCTTCAGTGTCACATTTTGAATAAGGACACTTGAGCTAATGGAAGCAGAGCTGCTATGAGGAAAGTGAGGATTCTGTGCTGTGAATGGCCTTGAGCTTGGCCAATGTTAATGCCACCTGACAGGGCTGAGATTAAAGCTGGGCAGAAGGTGGAAGAGCAGGGCCCTACCTTTAGGATGGGGGAGGATATTGATGATGGCTCGCAGGATAATGACATAGGGTTTAGTGCAGGTCAGAAGGATCAGCTAATGAAGACTTATGTGTGGAGAAGAGGAAAGCATTACTTCAAATCAATGCTGCCTAAGACAGAGAGCCTGATAACCTTGGTTCAGAATTAGCTGGCGGACCGTCAATTGTGAGCAGCAGTGGCAGCTCGTCGGGGGAGGCACAGCTTCCCCATAATTTTGAGGTGAAAATGGGAGGAGGACGATTTAATGTTAATAAAATTCACAATTCATTTCAGTTCATGTCTCAGAATGTGTATTTTTTTGTTTGTAATTTCACAGTTGTAATACCATAACGTGAAAGCGCCGCTTTTCTATCGCGAATGTGCCGAATCTGCTGATGTAATTACAACCGCTAGGTGATAGAGAAGGGGAGGGGGAGGCCGGGGGAGAGATGAGCTCTTGTGCCTCTGTTGGTAAAAAAAATTAGCCAATCAGCATCGAGTGTTCACTTTCAGCGCTGAGGGGTGTTGCGAAAAGAAACCTCGTATGGGAGGCTAGCCTCCTTCTGATATCAACCAATCATCACAGAGACGTAAATTACGTGACATTAGTTTGAACGTCTGCCGCTGCGCTGATAATGTACCAAGTACTTATGATGAGTAGCGATATTGAATATTTGATTGCCAACAGATTTACCAAGCTGTCATTCAAACAGTATAAATACAAATTTAGGGAAAACAGCCTAAGCTGGATATAGGCTACAGCAGTCGGCTTAATTAAATGGCGCAACAGGCAGTTCTCTTTTAACACAGACTTTCAAGAAGGGATGGATGTTTGCTTCAAGTGATAGGCCAGGTAAGTGAAATTATATTATATTGCTGTATGTATGTCGTTTTCTTTACGTTTTCTGACTAAAAGCAACCAAAAAGCCATTTTAAAGCGGTTAAGCAAATAATAATAATAATCGGCAGGGATCCCAGACTAATACAATTAGTGTGCCTCCTCTATTTTAAAACCCACGAGCCGCCACTGGCCTAGTGTCATTTTGGAGAGTATCCACTGAACGCAAACAGCGTATGTTGTTCTGTGTCAGCTGCGCCACAAGGTACTCTCCAAAATGGCACTAGAGGAGACGAATTGTTGAATAAAGTCGTTATTTTTTTTCTTTTGCACACAAAAAGTATTCTCGTAGCTTCGTAATATTCCGGTTGAACCCCTGATGTCACATGGAATATTTTACCGATGTCCTTGCTACGTTTCTGGACGTTGATCGTGGTAGTACCCTTGCTGTCTATGGGAGGGTCAGGGAGCTGTCAGAATGCATCACAAATATCTTAATTTGTGTTCCGAAGATGAACGGAGGTCTTACGGGTTTGGAACAACATGAGGGTGAGTAATTAATGACAGAATTTTCATTTTTGGGTGAACTGTCCCTTTAAAATGGGACTGACTTAAAGTGACAGATCACCTTAACATTAAAGTTCTGTTTTTAGTTCATTTACCCTCATGCTGTTCTAAACCTGTATGAAACAAAAAAAGATGACTGAGGCAGTCCAGGTTTGAAAAATATTCGAGGGCGAATAATGAAAACGTTTTGTGTGTGAACTATTCCTTTTAGTCCACCGTATACTGCTTTTTTTCTTTTCCTATATGCATAAAACCACTAGACCCATTTAATCATTTAAAACCTAAAAATATTTCACTTGTGTATGTCTCTATTGCTGGAAATGATTGGATTAGCTGGATTACATTACCCCCCACCACCCACTCCATAAAGATGTCATGGACAATAAAAGTGCATTAACCAGTGAATTTTTGTGATGTGATCAAAACTGAAAAATAAATAAATCAACAACATTTACTGGTCATTCTTGCGCCATTAGTTTGGAAAATATTTTGAATTGAATTAGTTTGAAATAATGATGTTATGTTTTAAATCTGGTTAAAAGAAACGTTAGGGAGCATGTAGTTTGGTATTTGGATAACGGTAATTAGTAACATATAAATGGAATATTTATGTTACAGAGTTTCCATATCTTTTGACCAATTATTATTATTATTTGTTTTGTGTGTGGTTACTGGATTTTACAAATTGTCATATATCATAATATTGATGGGTCTTATTTATTTAATATTTATAATTATTTGTATTTATAGATAATGTAAGCATTTTTAAATATTTTAGAGATACAAAGTATTAACTGACTTTGACTTTTAACATCGTATTCATTTTAAATTACTTTTCCAATTATGGAAATCTCAATTTCAAAGTAAAAAAAAAAAAGAAGCTATTATAGATGTTAATTCAGATTTGATTAAAAAATCAAATATTCTGCTTATTCAACTCAATATAATACTACATTTCTTTTTCACATTGGTGGACGTTAGTTTGACCTTTTACAGGTTGCTGTTTCTGAAAATAGTTTTTCGTAAATGAACCGATGCTATGGCGAACAGCTGACTGCGGTACAAGTGTCACTGCGCATGAGCGGAAGTAGGTGCAAGGCAGAGAGGGATAGCGGAAGAGGGAGTCTGGAAATCACAAACATGGTAAATGTGAAAAAACGAACACAATTGTTTTACTAATGTGCGTTACAGTCACAAAATACCCATAAACCGCTACGACGAATCCTGTTTAGTTATTAGGCT